TAATCTAATAAATTGTGTCTAATTTATATTATGTTTTTAACTTTTTATTGATTAAGGAAATTGATATTAAATGATTTGCAAAATGTCAGGGCTACTGAACAGAAAACCAGCTTGCTTATTTTAAAAAATGTGCAGATCATCATAAGTCTTGGGATTCTATTTGTAATATCTATCATTATGCAATATCTATGGAGCTTATATGGCTATATGTAAAGAGTCATTCTGACTTGTCAGTTGAAAGATATATTTCCTGGGCTGGTCAGCAAGATTCACTTTATTGAATTAAATATAAGCAGGTTGTAATTAATTATTAACTTTTTTTATTATATAAAAATTTTGATATTAATTTTTTTAATTATTTTTTAATAGACATTTGTTTATCTTCAATCTATAATTAATTATCGAAAGGCTATAAGAACTAATAATTCTTTTTTAAAAAAAGCTGCTAGACGAATTTTTTCACCAATCTGGTCTGCAAGACGCTATCATATATATTGTCTAATAGAAGCTTTTGATGAAATTCAACTAATATGGCTTCATTCAGTAATACATAATATAATAGAAACAAATTGTGTTATTTCTAGATCAGGTATTTTTGAACAACACCAAGGATTAGATACAATCCTAGAAGAGGTAAACAAAACCTTAAAAACTCTAATACCTCCTATTTCACAACATAATCACTGGAAAATTGACGCGTGTAATTGCAAAAAGTTTATCAAAGTAATAAAATTTAATTAAATTAACTATATACATAATTGTACTATTAATTACAGTAATATTAAATTTTAGCTTAGAAGTAATTTGTTTCAAGTAATTGGATACAATGATCATCAAACATCTGAACCAAGAACTCGACCAGAAACAACAATAGAGTGTCAAAAATTTCGAACTCATTTACGAAGCCTTGATTTTGTAAATCAAGATCTAGAAGAATATAATTTGAATAAAGATTTTGAAAATTTTACATCTTTGGCAAAGCAAGTACGAAAAAATTTTATTACTGAAGTATTTATTAATAAAAGTAATTTATCTTCATTTAAGCAAATACCTATTACAAATCAAGAAGCTGAAGCACAAGAACATGAAGAAAATATAACTATTCCTCAAATTCTGCTAAAGATTGAAACACTTCTTGAACAACTTGGTGAAGATTCTCAAAAAAAATATTCTGGATTAAGGTCAAAAAAAAAGGCAGAATTGTTGATTATATTGCAAGAAATAAAATATTTATTTACTATAAATAATGAAGTTAATAACCAAGATTGTACAGAAATTACAGATTAGAATAAATATATACTTGTTTGAAGTAACAGATAAAAAATCAAAACTTAGATAAAAATTTTGTAATTTATTTATACTTTAAATAATTAATAAATTAAATTGAAAAAGTCAACTTCATAATTCTGCAATTAGTTAATATATTTTTATTATTTTTAAATCTAATCAAATTATCTTATCCGATATGTCTTATGTGAACACTGAACGATTTTTGTATATGTTATTTAGCTACCTCCTAATACAATATACAAATTTTCATTATCTCTTAAGAGGTGAATGAAAATTTGTATATTTATATTAGAAGAAGGCCAAATAAGATACACAAAAATTATTTAGTGTTTACGCAGACATGTCAGATAAGTTTATTATTGGTCAAATTGTGGCCGATAATTGCTGATTTATTCACAGTAGATATTGTATTATGACATGACCTTCGGCCACGTCATAACAACAGTATCTTAGTGAATAATTAGTTATTATCCACAACATGACTAATAACAAGTACTTATTTTTAAAATATATTTAATTGTATTTACTTCACTTTAATATTTTATTTATTTTTGAATTAAATTTATATAAAGCTAATTATATTTTGATCCAACATGTAACTATATGCAAAAATCAAAATATCTATAAAATAAAAATTGCTCTAAATTTTTCTTTAACTTTTATCAAAGATATTTTAACAACTATCAAACCAAATTTGATAAAACTTTTTTTGTTTGAATTCTGTGAATATATAGAATTCAAATAGAAAATTCATTCAATTAATTAGGTGGTTGTCAAGATATCTTTGCTCAAAGTTAAAAAAAAATCAAAACACTATCAAAATACTATTTCTTTTAAAACTTTGAGCAAAGTTATCTTGACAACCATCAAACCAATTTGTTAAAACTCTTGTATTTGAATTTTATAGGTTCATAGAATTTGAATAAAAAATTTTTTATCAAATTTAGTCAGGTGGTTGTCAAAATATCTTCGCCCAAAGTTAGAGAAAAATCAAAACACTTATCAAAATAGAGCTATACCAAATTTTTCTCTAATTTGAGCAAAGATATCTCGACAACCACTTGACTAAATTCGATAAAATTTTTTTATTCAAATTCTATGAATTCAGAAAATTCAAAAAAAGAAGTTTTATCAAATTTGGTTTGATGGTTGTCAAGATATCTTGGTTCAAAATTAGAGAAAAAATTTGGCGCAGTTTCTATTTTGATCGGCATTTTCATTTTTCTTTAATTTATCTTGATAACTGCTGATTAATTTTTGATGAAACCTTTTTTTATTAAATTCCATGAATCAATAGGATTTAAGTAAAAAAAGTTTTATTGAATTTGATTAGATGATTATCAAGACATTTTTACTCAAGTTTTGAAAATTCTTGTATATAGTTATGTAATGGGTTACTTTAATCAGGGTCAAAATAGAATTGGTTTTATATAATATATCACAACTTATAAATTAAAATAATTTAATTGGACAGAAAATTATTACATATATTTATCGCTATATACAGTAATCATAGTTTCTTCATCAAACGATAAAGCCATAATTAGAGTTGCGACCCAAACTCTTTTTTAGTTATAGCGTTTCTACTATAGAATGTGAAATAAATATAAGATAAACAAAGTACTTAATATAAAACTGATTTGGAAGAAACTATACTTAGTTTGGGTTTGGGAATCAGTATTTCTACCTAGTTAACAAATCCCAAATACGTATTCTATTTTAATAAATAGAAACTATCAATTCATGGATGGATCAATTATCAATTACTGAATTAATTAAATATAGTTAAGCCAATAACACGGAAAATTTTTGAGTTGCCAGGTAATGAGCAAGCAGAATTTATACTCATCATTAAAACTTAGAAAGAAACTAATTGTCAGATAATATCAGGAATGAAGAATAGAGTTATATTTAAACGCATCTGATTAGACAATTCATTCTTATAATTTCACTTCGAGATTTCTGTATAAAATAGAAGTATGCATTAGTTTAAATAATATAATAAAAAAAATGCAATCAAATGTGATCAAAGAAACATAAATTCTATAATACCATGATGATTACCGTATAGTCGCGAAATAACACGCAGGGGTGTAATTTTGATTTTCAGCCTAAATAAAGCTTAATTCAGGCCGAAGTTCGAAATAATGCCCTGCGCGTTATTTCGTGGCTATACGGTAAATTTCTTCATTTAGCCATTGTTTTAAATATAAAAACTTTAAGTTTTTTAAATTTGTTATATGTACAAGTTATACTTATTCTACTCGTATTATCAATTTATGTATTATATGATGAGAGTTAGAAGAATCAAAACTTTCTTTTATCGTTGAGTTGGTTAACTGAAAAGATATATGGTATGTATCGCACTAGTATAGACTTATCTTGATTTACTTGATTTGGTATCTGCATACAGGCATAAAAAAATGAAACTTGTTATAACAATATCGTAACAGTAAAATTATACACACCATAATTCTTGCAGTTTTAAAAATCATTTCTCTTAACTCTAATAAAAAGTTCATGATTTCTTCTTTGTTCTTTTTATGAAAGCTAATAAAAACCTCATCTTGACTTATAAATTTCAAGATCCCGAACATAAGCTTACCAAATATTTCTCCAAGTTAAGCTTTGAGTATTCATAAACCTATAATCTAACTCAACTGCGAAATTACCATTACTTTCCAACCAGTTAGCTATGTTTTCTGGGTAGAATAAATCTCTGAAATACTCAAGGTACTTGTTTATTCATAAAGACCTTCGAACAACAGTTAAAAAAAATTTTACTCTAATAAAAGTACTCTAGATTCGATTTTATAAGATTGACCAATCACGAAACAGTAATATCGGAGGGTCTAGAATTTTCTGATCGACATTTTCATACCAGAAAAAGACTGATCTGCATTGTCCTAATTTGGTAAATCATCAGACTGTAATAAATAATTTAATATAATTATATTTACTTTCTAATTTTTGTAATTCTTTAACTATAGGAAAAAGATATATATTAAGATCTTTAGGCTCTTTAGGCTCAGATATAATTAGAATAATTAAAAAATTTTCTTTTTTAATATGATTTCCAGGATCCAAGTTTGCATTAATTACTAATACTATCTAATAGTCATCAGTTTTTTGTCTAAAGATCTGATAACTATCAACTAAAGCTATTAATACAACATCTCGTTCATCTTGAAAGTATCCACTTTGTACTAATTCTTTGTAATAGGTACTATCAAAAATATCACCTAATTGATTATTATCTCTATATGATCTTTGTAATAAATAATTATTTCTGTATCTCAATTCTGCTACACAATTAGAATCTTTATATTGAATAGTAAGGCACTGTGCAAGTGAAAAATATGCAAATTGCTAACATGGCTTTCTTATTTTTTTGTAATAATAGATCTGTTTTACAAACTGGGCATTTTAATAATTTTTGATAGTTTCCAGTATATGCACAGCATGAATTAAAACACATATCTGTCTATAAAGGTTTAATATCTACAATTAATTTTAATGTTTTTTTTAACAATGTATAAACTAATTGGTTTAGCATTGATTGCAATTATAGTTTGTTGAAATGTCTCATCTGTTAAATTATATTGAACTTTTACTTTAAATAACTTTAACACAATAGTCAATTCCTCTGATATATCTAAATCCATATCTAATATTATTAATAAATTTGTTATATAAGTTTGTTTAAATTATTATAATATTTTTTTATCATTTTGAGAATAATCTGAATAACTATTATTAGAGATTTCAGAATCAAGAAAATCATTCAAAGAATTGTTACAATTAAAAAAATCTTCATATTCAGAATGATTTGAATAATTGTTTTTAGAATCTTCAAAGCTAAGAAAATTAGTTGAAGCTCTATTGCAATTAGAAAAATTTTTCTAAATTGAATACACTTTTTTATAAATTTTTATCATCTTTTGAGATTTTAGATAAACTTTGTATTTCTATATTAATATCTAGAAAGTTTTTATTCCAGATAAGATATTCATATTAATATAGACATCATAATTAGAAGCAAGATTTATTTTACTATAATTTTATTATTATTATATATAATTAATATTCAGTAATATGCAATATTTATTATAAATATTTTTTTTAAAAAACTTAACTAATTATTAATTTAAACATTATTTTTATTATTTGATAGCTCTAAATTTGATGACTCTAAATTTGATAATACTGAATATATTTCTACAAATTTCTGATTAATACATTGAGCTTTCATATATCTGGTTTATATACTTTTGCTAACCCAAGCACCAGCATAGCCTTTTTCAGCATATAATAAACATTTGCAATATACTTTATTTTTATGACAAGCAATAGGCATTAGATCAAGTTCTATTATAGAATTATTACTTTCTTTTTCACTAAGTTCTATAATAAAAGGCTTGTATTAAGATTTGAAATATTTTTGTAAATTTTAGTAAAATATGTCAGCAAAAATTTACTTCTTATATTTTATATTGATTTCATTTAAACTTGTAGTTTTATTTAAAGTCTAACAAATATATATTTACCAAAAAA